CCCCAAAACCCCAAAACCCCAAAACCCCTCTATCTTTGAACTGAAATTTATGTTGTTTTTTTTTTTAAAAGATAAATATTATAGAAATAAAAATTAATGAACAAAACCTTTCAGAGTATACCTTAGCGAAACCCAGTCAATTTGACTTAACAAGAAAATTAAAGTACGGCTTATGAGAGTAATATCATGAAAACAGTGCCTGAAAACTTTAATTCAAAATATCACAATAATAGTTTCGACATGCGGCAGAGGAACACCAACTATGGTGGAAGTTTTATGAACAAAAACTCAATTAATACAAATGAAATGTCTCCAATAAAAACTAAGTCTCAGTTTAAAGAGTGCTCAATATTTGATAGGCATTTGCAATTTATGATAAAAAGGTAAGACATGTTCAAACATAGAGAGGAGTTCTTGAAAAAGTAAGAATATAATTTATAATATTGATTTTAGCAAATACATGCAAAGAAATGCGAACTAAGAATCTAAATAAGATTCCTTCAATATGCATTTCAAAGATCCCTTAAGTCCGACAGATTTGCAGGCACAAACCTAAGAGGAAATATTCCGCACTTATACAGCTTTTAAAAGACCTATCAATTTCATGAACTATTCTACCTATGATTATGATTTAATAAATGGCTAGCCAAGTCCAGAGCATTTAAAATAATTCTTCGATAAGCGAATGGACTATAAATAGTAAAGATAAGAATTGAAATTGCAATATGATCTCAGAGAGGATGAACAAAAGAGGATTGGAAATATGACTCAATAGAAATATAAAGAGAATAATGTGATGATCAAGGATAGACTTAAAAAGCTAAAGTTCCACATCCTGAAAAACATCAAAAATATCAAATAAGATCCTATTAGGAGTCAGAGCACAAACAGCAGATTAATGAATCATAGTATCATGGAAAGTTAGTTGAAATATAATGTAGTGGGATAAGGGCATCTAAATGGCTTTAGCACTTAAAAAAGTTCTTACACTGGCTAGCTACATCAATAGCAGATATAAAACGTCAGCAGGAATAGTTATCAAGGGGGCATAAATAAGACTTTTGATAATTAAAACCTAAATGATAAAAACAATGAAAATATTAAAATCATATAAAATGCAGTGAATAAACTTGATTTTGAGGACATTTATCAGAATCTGTTTACTAAAAGCAACAATCCCAAAGTTGTCCCTGAAAGAGTTAAATCTACTGATCTTGATTATAAAAAGAAGGTGAATGGAGTGATCAATCTTAAAAGAAACTCAGCACTTCCTTTGACATCAACTTAAATAGAGTAAAATATCATCAAAGATCACTAATTCTAACCCTCCCAAGATGCAATTAGTTTGATGGGTTAGAGAAAAATAATAAAAAAACACTAATTTTCTCAAGAAGAAGCATCTAATGTTTAGAAACAAGAAGATAACTCTTATAAAGATGATCTTTTATCTATTCGATCTAGGCTTACTAAGACAAACCTAGAAATATTGCAAAAAGGCAGGAAAGACATTAAATCTTAGCTATCAAAGAAGAGCCGGATTGGTGGGGATACTTTCAACACTGGCTCAGATTATTTCAACATTAGAGCGATGACAGTAAAATCTAGAGAAGATAGATTTTCTAAACTTAGCCAACCTGAATAAGGAGGAAATGCAACAAAAAACAACCAAGATGCAGCATCACAAATAGGCAAGAAAATTGAAATGAATATTACTATCACAGATGTGAAGCTTGATGATCACAATAAGTTTGGCAAAAACAGTCATAATTTAGAGGAAGTAGAAGATGATGATGATGATGAGTTTGATGAAATTGAGGAATTGGAGAACCGATATGAGATGGAAGATGAGGTAAAGACTCTTAACGGCCACGAAAAAGCTCACAGCAATGATAAAGATGAGACAAGCACGATCTTTTCACTTAATAAATCTGTGGGAGGTTAGTCTATAGTGTCTAATAAGTCTGGCAAGCCGTACTCCGACAAAAGTGCGATCAAGATAAATAGTCTGGAGAAGCAACTGGAAAAGGAGAAAAAGGAAAGAGAGAAGTTACTTAAGATTATAGAGAAGCTAAAGGATGATAAGTAAAACGATCACTAGCAAAATGATAGCCAATCAGTGACCAGTAGTAAAAAGTAAATTGAACTAGTTAGCTTTAGAGGTAATAATAAGTCTTAAAGATGAAATATCAATGAAAAAAATATTAATAATATTTAATGACAGTTTATTAAAGATATCAGATAATGTAAATAACTTTTTTAATTACAATTTAGCTATATTAAAATTAATTATATTTAATGTCAAATAAACTTGGTAATTTCGAGGTGCCTGAGAATCTAACAGAAGTCAAGCAATTGAATGATCAGATCTTAGAAATGATTGAGTAGAATTAGGGCAAATCTTAAAAAAGTTAGAAGAACTAAAAGCGTTGGACTATCATCAGACAGGGTCTATAGCACACTCTTTCAACAGACCCAGATAATATTAAAAGCAATGAGTCAAGCAATAATGCTAACACAAATATGAGTATGACTATTGCCAACATTAATCTAAAAAGTTTATCTTGACAGCAGAATTCAGTGCTCCATGATAATTCATTTGATACGTAGAATACTAATAATTCATCCAGCCAGGATAATACATCATAACTGCAAAGTAACTTTGATGAAGGCAAGATCATAACTGACATTAAGGTCAAGTTGGCAAATTACATCCAGACTTAACACGAAGAAAAGTTTCAATAAATGATAGGCAATCTCTCCACAAATATAATGAATGAATCTCGAACAACTTTTAACGGTAGCACCAGGTCACTCAGGTCTACACAAATAAACATGCTCTTTGATCAAAGTAAGGAACTCCTTAAGCGGAAATGTGACAAATTCAAGAATCAACTGCAGGCTAAGAAGGAGTTACTTAAGAATTATGAGGCAGAATTGGAGAAACTCAGGAGTGCAAATCAGGTCAATGTAAATATCTCCTCTAGCTCGAATAACTCTCTCAACGTCACAAGTTTAATCCTGAATTCTTAGTTTCACTCGTCTTTAATAGGGAATGGAGATAACTAATCTCCTAATAAGCTAATGAATTCTACCATTATAACATCAAATGAAAGCATATTAGATTACACCAATTTGTCATCTTTATCAGGTAGGCTAGATATATTGAAAATGAAACTAGTGCACATAGCCGAGAGAAGCTTAGAGGCTTATCGAGAAAATACAGTCCTCAAATCAATGCTTAGGAAATCTAGACTATAAAGAGAATGTGATCGTAAAGATAGAATAAGAATTGGGGATTCTCTAGCAGCAGTTGAAAAGATAGTATACTCAATTGAGAATATAAAGTACTTGGACTCAGGGCGAAAGATCTCAGTGGATGGTATGAATCAAAGTCACAGATTCATATTTAACAAGGACAGAGACAAAATGCAATAAATGCTGACCAGGTGTAATGAAAGACTCAAAATTGAAGAAGAGTAAACTCAGGAAATGCTTCATAAATATCTTTAACACCTTAGAAAGGTAAAAATATTCCAATAGGACTTGATCCATATGAGGATACTCAAAAAATAGCAAGACTCACAATAGAAATAGCTAACCTTGATTATGAGAAATAGAAGGCAAGAGTACTTAGTCCTTAGGAATATTTACGGGATTCATCATTTAAAGCGGATCATAGAGATGAAATAGAACCTATAGTATAGCAACGAATTTGAATTTGAACAATAAATGCAGGAACAGATAAAAATGTATTAGTTTCAAATGCTTTAATGCAAAATTATATCCTATGAAAGTGTCAACTCTCAGCCTAGTATAATAGCCATGGGCTAAAGATCTGGGGAGTAGTCACCCACTCTGTAAAGTTTTAACAATCAAACGGCATTTGATTAATACCTGATGTTTAGGAACTTTTTCTAAGAGACATATCAGAATGGGGGATCAGAACTTAAAGCTAGCAAGCCAGTTAATATGTCGTTCGATTATGTGCTAGAAAACTACCAAAAAGTGTTCATTAGATAGCAGTTTCTGAATAATAGGATACATCATACACAGTAAGAAAAACAGCTCTGTAGAATTCAGCTAATCAATTCTAAAATATTGATGTTTAAACTTCAATAGAATTTAAGAGAATAACAAGAACATAATCTAGACAATGATAAAGATAAATCTGATTCTTAAAATATGCTTAAGGAAAAATTGGCCAAGATAATATAAAGCAAAGCCCTTAATGTTGAATAGATAGCTGAAAAAATAAAATAAATGGCTGGTATACTGATGTTCTTTGAGCGTACACTCATGTATCTCACTCAAAGAACAGTTGGACCTTATGTGACTCATATATAAACTTTGGTAACTCAAGTCAAAATAGATAAAGATCTAATTGCTACTATAGAAAAATATAAAAACTAAGATAATTCCAAAATTAAGCTATTTTCAAGCAAAGATAAACTGAACATATTTGCAATAAGACTATAGATAGACTAGCAATTCCTTTAAATCTTCTTTGAATACAAAGAGGACATCATCCAGATGATTCATCAGTTAGAAAACTTGAACAAATAGATAGAGGACATTAGGTAGATAACCTATCCAAGGAAAAAGAATCTGACCATTAAAAATGCTCTAGCTGAATTCAAGAAGTACTTTATTAGTTTGAATCAGAATGTCAATGAAAACTTTAACATTGAACAGTTGGAGGAGATAAAAAATGCAGTTATGGAAATGCTAGAAGATACAAATGAGACTGAAGAAGGTGATGATTATGGGGATGAGGGTATATAGGAGAAATTTAAAACCCCAGAGTTATTGGATAGAGTGAGTTACAAATACCAAAACTCATAGATAAACACAGATGATTAAAATTTGACAATAATAGATGAATCAAATTTTAAAGACAATGACTCAGAGACCTAGGAGTTTAACAGGCAGCTCAGAAAAACATAGTAAAATGGCAGTTAGATTGGAAAGGCTATGAAGGAAAGGAGGAGGAACAAGTAAATGTATCAGTCAGTAGAGGTTACAGATGAAATCAGGATAATGAAGTAAAAGAACAGACTGGTCAACTTTGAAAGAGAGGAGTTGAAGTTCATGAGTAATCTTAAAAGCAAGATCAAGAAGGACTATGATAGGATTAAGTATGAGATCCCATTGCAATAAGTTCCGAGTCCAACTCTTGAAAAAAGATTATTGATGAGCTAGGTAAAGCCTAAGTGCGATCACCCTACCGAAAGACAATCGATTTCAACAAGAAGAGATATCTAATCATCCCGCAGAGTATAATAACCAACACAGCACTCCACCAATCAAACAGCAGTTTCTACTAGAACAAAACATAGAACAGATGATCTTGATTAATTTCCTTCAATAATCTCAGATGTGAACAGTCTAAGTAGAAAGCAGAACAATCCAGTCTACTCAAGTCGATACCTTTCTTAAAAGCAAGACCAGACCTTGAATAAGATCCCTTCAGTCTCCTAAATCAATAGCACTCCAAATCAGTCTTAGAAGAATTTAGTCATTGGCCAAGTCCAGAAGTTTGTGAATGAAAAGTCTCTGAGGTACATGAGACAGTATAAGTTTGAGGGACAGTAGATGAAGAACCAAAGACGAATAAACATCTCCAACAGCATAGTAAACCCAAAGTTAAACCAAATCGATACTAGGAATGAACAAAAAAGCAGCAATAGGAATTCAGTTAACTTGAGAGAGTCTAATCCTACCTCCGTCAAGAATGCGACATCTGAAGCTCTTAGAGTTTATCTGCAAAAGCAGAAAAGGATAAAGCGTAGGAACATAGAGGGAGGGTATAACATGATCCACAGTGATAACAGTCTAGTTAACATTCAACTTAACTATCCCTAGATGTTTTAAACACAAGATACTAAGTCTCAAGTTATATATCACTTAGACAACAGTATCGATAGTTAAAGTCTTATACTCGCATCAAGCTATAACAATTAGAGTGTCAACTCAGATGGAATCCTGCCACAATTGCCTAAATGATTCATAAAATCAGAACTTAATGATTTATTTATTATTCTCAAATTTTGATTTTTTGATTCTTCTTAACAATATTATCAGGGGTTTTGGGGTTTTGGGGTTTTGGGG